CTCCACCATTACTGTCCTTCCTCAAACAATAACTTATTGTTTGCTTATTTTCAGTATTTATTTATTTCTTTATTTGTCTAATTGATAGACTGCCTTTCTCCCAATGGGGACAACTCAAGACAGGTTACAGGTTTTTTTTAAAATTAAATTAAAAACACAATAAATTATACCTTAAAAAATTAAACTGTAATGGTTACCAAAAAAACACTCCACGATTAAAAACTTTAAAACGGGATCCGCAGCCAGTGTCATTTGGCTGCTACTATTTGCAAAAAAAGGGGGGTTGTGAAAGAAGCTTTTAAAAGGCTTTTAAGAAGCCAGACAGATCTCAGCCTCTTTTAGAAGGGGGGAAGTCTTCTGGAAGCTTCTGGAAAGCAGATGTGACATCACTGCAAGATGATAAGCCGGGCTCCTTTGGTGTTGGATTTGAGCTAAAAGCTGTCAGCGTTGGACCCGAGAACCACCCTACTTAGGCTTCAAAAACACCTTCTACTGAGCTTAGCTAAACGGATTAGTGGGAAATGCGTGAAAAAAACACACCAAAATCGTGCATTTAGAGATCCGCCAGAAGGAAAGTGATGGCCCCCCTGTGGCAGATGTTTTCCTGCCCAAAGAAAGAGGGAGGACCTGTTTTTATTGCATCAGCAATCTGCTTAAAGGAAATCTCATTTCTTTTTAAAAATATTTTAATAAGCTTTTCTTTGTTTTTCCTGCCAGGGAGTGACCCAGAAACAGCGAGACCCGATAGGTAACGCGGTTGATTCATGGTCATGTTGAGATGCTATTGCACCCGAGGAGAGAAGCCTCCTCCCCATTGCACAAGCCACCACAGGAAGGGAATTCGAATTCCTTCCCCCCCCCCTTTTGTGCATTCGTGGAAGCAAAATTCGACTTGGCCTCCTCTCACCAGAACTTCCGTACAGGCCTCCCCGACTCGGTCAGGGTTTTCCAACGAAATTTTGCCTCCCGCAGCGGCCTCATTTCTGATTCTCCTCTTCCTTCCTTTAGGGCCAAATGAGGCAGGATCCTTTCCTTTGCCGCCCATGGGGTACGACCATCTTTACCTCTCGGGAAGATAACTTTCAGTATTTGTACCCTCAAAGTCTTCCTACAGGCCATACGAAGCTATTTGCCAATTTTGGCGAATTCGTATCCCAAACAAGACAGAATTTCGCACTCATTCCTAGCTCGAATTTTGCTTCGTTTTCTGGCTGGACGACAAAAGGACTGTGGTCCCTGCAGGGGTTGATGCCAAACCTGCCACACACACACACCTATTTCATGGATGCAAAAAAAAAATGCGGACGTATTGAATACTACAGGAAAACATGCCGGTTCCCCCTGCTCCCCCACCGCACCCCCAGCAAAGGCATTCAAAGCTGCTCACGTGGGCCACCACGGTGCCCAAAATGGCAAGCGCCGGAAAGTGGAAGCTCTCTGTTGAGACAAAACAGGCTTGGCTGACTGAGTAATTGCATTGATCAAGGGGGAAAACAAACCCAGACCTACCGATCTATCTTATTACAGCTTTCGTCCCAAGACATGTCAATGACAGCCGAAGATCTTTCCCCCCACCCCCCCCACCCCCATCTGGACATGCAAGGATTTCTCTGTCTGAAATGGTCATTAGTTGCTTACGGGCAAATAAATCCCTGGCCAGAAAGAAGGAGGAGGAAGAAGGCAAAATAAGGCCACCTTCCAGATACTGATGTTGGGTCAAAGGCAGAAGGCGCTGTTCGAGTGAAATCCGCCGACAGACAAAACTCTAAGAGAAGAAGGCGTTGACACAGACCATGGCGGTTGTTTTTCCTCCCCCTGTTTTGTAGGCTTCATCTTTTTTTTTCCTTCTTCCACGGTCCAAAAAAAATAAACCATTAATAATCTGCATTGCATTTTCAGGTAGACAAAATGCACCGGGCAGCTTATAGACAAGAAAAATAGTGCTCTCCATTCCATCCCGCATGTCCAAGGATCCATATTCTGCCTCCCGGAAGATCTGGGGGCCACATAGACACCCCAGTATGCAAAAACCATGATAGAAAAATGAAGCTTTTTGATTCGAGGGGGGGGAATAAGAAAAGAAAAGGAGGTTCCTTGGTTCAGGGCAGCCATAGGAGCGATTCAAAAAAATAAACGCCCGTTCTTGGTAATTCTTTCCATTCTTTTTCCATCAGCGCATTGCTATAAATGGTGAAGTCCAGCGGTTCCCAACTTTGGGTCCCCAGATGTTCTTGGACTACAACTCCCAGAAGTCTTTGCCACCAGCTGGACGTGCCAGGGTTCATTGAATTCATTGATTTGAATTCTTCTTACTCTGAATTGAATTCTTTTACTTTGAATTCATTGAATTTGGTCAGGGTTTCTTAGGAATTCATTGAATTCGTTGAATTGAATTCTTCCTACTTTGAATTGAATTCTTTGACTTTGAATTCATTGATTCGAATTCTTCTTACTTTGAACTGAATTCTTTGAATTCATTGAATTCGTTGATTTGAATTCTTACTTTGAATTGAATTATTTCATTTGGAACTCGTTGAATTCGTTGATTTGAAGCCTTCTTACTTTGAACTGAATTCTTTTACTTGAAATTCATTGAATTCGTTGATTTTAAGTCTTCTTACTTTGAATTGAATTCTTTTACTGTGAACTGAATTAATTTTTTTTTATTTTAAGTTCATTTGAGCCGCAGAAAATAAACCTGGGCCCTCTTGCAGGAAATAACCAGCAGGCCAGAGAGTTTTCTTCCCTATATCAATTCTTCAGAAATAAATCGTAATACAAAGATGATGCTGAATTATTTTACTGTGAACTGAATTAATTTTTTTATTTTAAGTTCATTTGAGCCACAGAAAATAAATCTGGGCCCTCTTGCAGGAAATAACCAGAAGGCCAGAGAGTTTTCTTCCCTACATCAATTCTTTAGAAATAAATCGTAATACAAAGATGATGCTTCAGAGAGGTTTGCTAAGGGTTCCCTTTTGTAAGATAAACTGCATTGACCCTTTGGAACATCCGAAATGCATGGTATGTGAAAACTGGTAGTACGACAGCTATTGTTATTTTTTCCCCTACATTTCTGTTTTAATTAACATAGGAATGCAGATATATTAATGTTGCTTCTTTCCACTTTCCCTTTTGCAAGTTTAAAAAATAGGGGGGGAGTGAAAACAATTGCTGTAAATAAATCTACAGGATCCAATTGGTTAAATCTCTCGTTAAGCTGGAGCAGAAACGGGATCAGTGGGGATTTAAGAAGGTAGTCCTAAAGACAATCAATTTACTCCAGAGCCGTCGCGGCCATATGTTTAAACACTGTCTCTGGGGAGGGGCGAGATTAATGCAAAAACCACATGCAATTTAGGGCCATTTTTTTTGAATTGCAAAATGTGGTGAATGCGAACCCCAGCCTGGAAAAGTTGTTTTCGGGATCTCTCTAGAGTCCACCACCTGAACAAGAAGCTTTCCAAGCTCAGATGAACCCTGACGGGGATTTTTTTTCAGATCAGGGCTCCCATCATCCACATCCCACACTCCTCTGCTTCTGGGGACGTTGGCTGCTGTAGTCCCCACACAGCTGAGTGAGTCCAGGGCTCATCCGACAGACCAGACACAGACAGAGCTGGATAATGACCGTCGGCAGAGCAGAATCTCTTAAGACTGCATCCAGGCCTCTGAAGAAATGGACCTGCTGGATAGCTCTGTGGCTTAGCCTGTCAGATGTTGGGAGTTCGAATTCCCCCATGGACAGGGGCTGGACAGGATGATCCCCGTAGGCTCCCCTTTTCCAGCTCTGCCGTTCTAAATCTGCCTTCAAAATCCTGTGTTTGGAGCAGCACAGCAAGGGGAAGGAAGCGTCCGTGGCGTTTGGGTAAGGGAACACTGCCATCCCATGCACACATGTTGAATTGCACAGTTGTCCGTCGTACGGGATCATGGAATGCATCGTGCCAGGGTGAAATGGTCCTTTATCAGAATATGAAAGCAAGCCAAGCTGCAAAGGGAGGGCTGTTCTTACCACCAAACACCATGCCCCCCCTCCAAACCAGCAGGCTTCTCTGCTTATTTAGAGACTCCTCCTTCCAAAGCAGAATGGCTCCAGAAAAAAAGCAGATCCAAACATTAATCTGAAGGAATTCGAATGACCCTCCTGTTCGCTCACAACACAAACCCCCTTCTAATTTCTCAGGCCTCCATATAGCTGTGCTTACCTTCCAGGGAGACGCTGAGGTGTGGCCATGAGGCCCCCGGGTCTGGTGTGCCCCTGGAAGAGGTTTTTATCCCAGTGGAGTCCTTCATTCGGAACACATCCTTTAGAAAAAGTCAGAAATGGGAAGAATACAAGGCATTGAGGCCGATTATTTCGCTGCTTTTTAAATACATTACACTGACAGCAGTTGTGTGTGCTGACATGGGGGTTTCACTGAGTAATGTAGGGTTTACATCTGCAGCTGTGTGTGCTGACATGGGGGAGGTTTCACTGAGTAATGTAGGGTTTACATCTGAGGAAACATGCACAGGTTCAAGGTCTCAAGCAGACAGCTAATATTGTCTCTAGAGAACCTACAGTTTTTTGGGAAAAGATTACCCTAAGTGACACAGCGCTATTTCAGAGATAAGGAACTGCCCACGCTGGGTTGATGTATTACTGTAGCGCTATGGCACTTATTAAAAATATAATAGATCACACTGAAGATAAGAGCTTTTAAAACACAGCCCAGATGACCCCAAATTTTCCCATCTTGTCATAACCTTCATCATTTTTGTCACTACTGCTGTGTCCCTCTGTGTTATATTACCTGATTATTTTCTCTCTCCAACCTGTTTTCATCCCATAGAAGTTAAATTAAGCTATTGATAACAAAAAGAAAATAGTTCAGTACGACACACACACCCCGGTATCCCTGGATTCACTTCTTATGTCCTGCAAATTACGTTCTGTAATTCCTATTTCCCCAAAGAGCACAGAAGGAGGGAACAATAGGGAAAAAAATGTGTGTCTGCTAACCTTGATGTACATCCACTGAGCCTGCTTCCTGGTGCTTTTCCTCCGAAGATCTCGGCCTTAATATCTCGCTGCAAGGCCGGGAGGTTAGCAAACCAGGCAGTCCTTGATCAGGGTGGGCTGCAAATCCATCTCCGTAGACGATCTTCTCTTGGGTCCTGCCAGCATCTCTTGAAGGATTCTGGGAGAAGCATGAATCCCAAATGGCGTCTCCACCCTGCACACCGCCAGCTTCCGTCTGAGGAATCTCCGGCTTCCGGATCATGGAAAGAGTTGGCGCTCCAGACAACGCTCCTTGCCTTTCCAAAGACATGGGCTTGTTGATGACCCGAAGCTTCCCCATTTCTCGGTCCAGCCGCTCACTGAGGTCCTGAGCCAGGACGTGAAGGGCTTTGACTCTGTTCTCCTTGGCTGGAGAGGGAGAAACGGCTGACTTTTCCCAAGGCGTCCATTCCTGGAGGCCAAAGATGGGCTTTTTCGATGGAGTTGTGTGGCAGCTGGCAACCGTTGGGGAATCTAAAATTCTTCCCGCCTCTGCAGTTCTGGTTATCTCCTGATCCAAGGCCTCGTTCTTTAGGAGAGCCTGCGATGACCGGTGGAGCCGTGCCCTCGTTTCTGATCTGGGCTGTTCTTCTCTTTCCCGTTCCTGAAATTTAAAACTACACCTCAAACGGCTGGAACTGCTTTACGGCAGAAAGAGGGTTGACAGCATTGACCCCCCCCCCGTCATTTGGACAACCTGCATGATAAGAGCTGATGTTTGTGATCCTTGGCACGCTTGATGGCGTACACCACCATCTCCTCCCAAACCCAAGAGCGTGCTCTTCCTCTGGAACTAACACCGGCCCATGGCTTATGACTCCCCCCCCCACGCATGGCCGCTAGGCCTTGGGAACCCCTCCTAGAAGGAGCTGCGGGCACAACCCTTTGCTCAAAGGACCATCCCTTGCCCGCTGCTCCTTCTTCCTCCCGATGTCCATACCAGGCCACAAATAGCTTTGGCGCATGTTGTAGGATTCGCTGCCTGGTTCCCCCGCCGGACCTCCGAGCCGCTCTTTCTCCTTCCGAAGGCTTCCCTCTGTTTCCTGTACACCTCCTGCAGCCTGGCGTTCCTCGCTTCTTGGGCTCGCTTTGAGGCCAGTTTTTCTTCCCGAAACCTCTTGTTTCTTTCTGCCAGCGTCTTATCCATGAACGCGTGGATCTGCTCAGGACTCCTGCTCCCTCTTCTCGCCATGTCACGGCGCGGCGGTGGTGAGCTTTCCTTGCCAGGGGTATGACTTCTCTGAGGAGACCCTCTCTTTTGTCCCATCCGAACAGCAGAGGGCCTTCCGGGGTCCACGAGATGGGCACTGGGCGAATGATGAGCATCTGGTCCAGCCTTGAACCTTCCCTTCTCCTCTCTTCCTGTGGCCACTCCCTGACTCTTCACTGTCCGCTTTTCTGCACCAAGGTTGTTTGGGGGCCTCGTGCTCCGATTTCTTGACCCTCGAGGGTTCTCCTTATCCACGAGCATCTGGTTTTCTTTTCTCTCCTGCCCGACATTTCTCCTCGCCCTTGGCATGGCACCATCTTGTTCTCCAAGGCTTTGCTTGACTTCATCCATCACCCGATGTCTTTTAGGTTCTGCGGAAAGAAGCGTATAGTTTAGCATCCTCTCAGAAGATTCTTCTCTTGTCTCCATGTTCCTCATACAATTTACGAAGTGAACCCCGAGACGTTAGAATCCCAAAGAAACAGATAAAACACAACTTAAAACATCCATCTCAAATAGCCACACAACGGATGCTTAAAAACATCCAATGAAGGAAAGCCCACCATTCTCCGAGGGAGTCTGTTCCACACGGAGGCAGCATCAGGAAACTCCTTCTACTATTTAATTCAAAATCTCATATTTTTTTTGGTCATTTGAATCCACTGGTCTGGATCCTTCCTTCTACTATTTAATTAAAAATCTCATTTTTTTGGTCATTTGAATCCACTGGTCTGGATCCCACCTTCCAGAGCAGCAGAAAATAATGCTTGGTATGGTGGGGGGCCAGATATACAGTGGACTGGAGATAAAACTAGCAATAGGTGTTCGTCCAGATTCAGGTGTCTAGAGATTTGGGAACGACGATCCCAAGAGGTGCAAGAAGCGACGGCGAAAGAGTCTTCAAAAGAAGACAAAAATATCAAAAATGATACTTGAAAAGATGTACCGAGAATGCTATCCATCATGTGGTCTCTGGCTCCCTCTAAGGGCCGCTTCTGGTAACTACACCTTCAGAAATATCACCGTATTTCTAGATTTTTTTTCTTTTAATATTTTCAGACCTCTCCTGAAATTTCCCTGGGGAGACAGGTGTCTTCGAGGATGGTACCTGGAGCAAACGGCGCTGCGTCCCCTTCTGAGCCGCTCCTCAACTTTTGATTTTTAAGCAAGGGGCCAAGAATTTTCCTAGCCAACTTCTGGCCTTCTCTCCATGCAAAAACATTCACTGCATGGACTGCTGAAATAGAAACACAAGTTCGTGGTTAGCAAAATGTTTTCCTCCCCCAAGTTTGCAATTTGATTCATGCCCATCTCTAGTCCAAACTCTCAGGAATTCAAACGGATCGTTGTCATGCATTTATCCACGTCTTCCTGAAAGGCGATGAGGAATCTCGGAAAAGGCTCCGGGCTCTTTCCGAGCGAGTGAGGTTTAACTAGATCGTGGGGAATATAACAAAATCCTGGTTCCCTGAGCGGGGAAATCCTCCAGCATCCTCACCACATCGCCTTTTGCTTCCAGGCAGAGATGAATATTTTATAGCCGGGCTGACTTAATTTTTTGTTAACTGCCGCAAATCCTCCTATTCATCAAACTTGGAAGTACTTTGCCTCTGACCTCTGACCTCCCATTCATCTCCTCTTGGCCTCGTTTTGGCTTCGGCCCTGACAGGAACTAATGGCCAGGCCAGCTTAGCTTTTCGCCACCCACCCGCCCTGACAGTTACCATGATGAATGGGCCCCCCGGGCGAGGGTGGCCGTGGGGTGAGCGACGGGATGATGACCCACTCTCCGAGGAAGGACCCAATGCCATTTTTCAAATTTCCCATTAAAACAAAGCACACGGCTGGGGCGGGGGGGGGAGCGAAGGGGAAATATTTTGTGTTTCATACATTTTAAATAGGTTGGGGGCCATAAAAAAAATCCTACAGAGCAGCTGTTACAAGAGGGCCAAAACTGGATGGCTTTTGAGGAGGGAAGCCGATCATCCGTCCTCAATGGGTGGAGAATTAGGAGGGTGTTTTTCTGGGGCTCAGAAGAGAGTGCCTGAGTCCTCTTTTTGCAAAATATCTAGATCAGAAAGGAGCAATATTAAAACAACCCAGCCACAGAAACAGCGCTAGTCCCTGGAGACCCAACAAGCTAGCAACACGAGAGAGAGGGAGAGGTTTTCCTGTACTCTGGGAGCCCTAAGGGAGCAGGAAAGGGATAAATAAATGGCAGAGCCCAGAAATGTGTCAGACTCTTAACTCCTTCCTCTGGCTCAATGCACGATCCGCTCCTGCTACAGGTGGGTGGTGTTGAATGTTTGAGAGGAGCCCTTCTGTTGAGGGAGTAGATTTCAAAGCAGTCACCCACAACAGTGTCATTCATGTTCTCTCTGGAAAGAGAAAATCTGCAGAAATCTATTTTTCTGATCAGTGGATCAGTGGACACCGATCCCGCGGATAATGGGGTCCTACTGTATTTCTGGGGAAACCCATTTTTCCTTCGGCTACCGGGAGGATCTCCGCTAAGTTCAGAGGGAGTTAAGCTGAAGGGGGTGGACGATGTCACCGATCCTGCTACCCAAGGTAGACCCAGGGCTGCGAACCCCGGCTGCACCATCACGACGCTCCACACCTCTTGGGGCTGTTCACACAGCGCAACAGGTGGCTGTTAATCCTTCACAGTGCCCTGTACACTTTACCTTGCGCTTTCTGAGCCTTCTCAAGGAGGGGAGATGTGCCGGTCCCATGTTGCTTCTTCTTAGACGCCCTTCCTCTCTGGCCTTCACATGAGAAAAGTCACACAAGACATCCAAGTCAGATTTCAAAATCCATATCGGGGTGATATCTTTATTAGCGTCAACACGAAAGGCACCAAACTGTGCCAGCTTCTGAGATCACTGATCTCTTCAGCAGGCAAGGAAAGGTGCCACCTGGTGGGATATGCCAGTAGATAAATGCAAGGTAGCATTAAAGAGGACTTGAATTGTTATTGAAAAGTTAGTGGGGGGAATTAACTATAAGTTACACAAAAGCAGGGATGATGATTACAATAGGGAAGACATTGCCTATGTGATACATCGGTAAGCCGTGGCAGAGAAAAAAATATAAAAGGACAAGCAAGTGATTTATCGCTAAGCATTTAAAAAACTGAAAATGTTTTCAGTTTTTATAATGTATCCTTTTGTATCCTAATGTATCCTTTTATAATGTATCTTTATAATGTATCATTTTATAATGTGTCCTTCTAAAAATGCCGAGAGGGCCTTCCTCTCTCTGCCAGCCGCCCTAATCCTGCATCCGAACCATTCCGACCACCGATGGGCTGACCTGTGTTTGCTGGTGTCGGAGAAACGAAGGCGATCTTGCGAACCTTCTTCTTGAGGCAAGGTTGTCTGTGCGTGGGGCTTTCCACAGCGCTTGAGACCGGCACCCTGCACTCTGCCGATGCCCGTGAAATGCACCGTTGCTGCTGGCGCTGGATCCTGGCTTTCAGCTGCTGCAGCTTCTCATCCTGCCTTGAGTTCTTCTTGAGATCTTGTAACTTCTGGGCCAGAGGGCATCTCCCAGGGGCAAGAGCCGGCGTGGCTGAAGGGGAAGGTCCTGCCGAGTCGGGGCCAGCTTTACTCCGAGGGTCCCCGCAGCCTTTTGACACAGAGACCACCGGTTCCACGAGATGTTTCATCTTCGGTGGACGAAAGGTGGGAAGCACAGCCAGTGCCTTGAAGGAGACAAGAGAAGAGCTAACGGAAGGGTAGGTCCCTGAGCTATCACAGAACGGAAATCTCTCCCGTTCCCCCATCCAATCCCATAAACCGAGGTTCTTCCCCATCTTGGGTTTCCAAAGAAATAATCCACCACCAGCCTAAGGAGAGATGCAGAATAGGAAAAAAAAGGGGGGATTTTGGTTTTTATTTCTTGGACTACAAATCCCGTAATTCCCAACTCTGGGAGAGAAAAGTTCTCCACGATAGCAGGGCTTTCTCAGAGTCATTAGAGTACAGCCCCCATATCCAGGGTGGATGGTGGAATCAATTCAAAGCGCCCCCCCCTCCACGGAGGCTGAAAATTTTGAATTATAGCAAATACTGTTTTAAAAGCAAACACTATCCATAGCGTGGTCTCTCCCTCCCTCCCATGGCCAGTTATGGTAGTGATACTATAGAAATATACTGTATTTCTAGAATTTTTCTTTTAATATTTTTAATATTTTCAGACCGTGGATAATGGATCTCACAGATACGAGGTCCTACTGTACCTCCTTTGATTTTAAGAAAGAAGGTCACGGGATGCCTAAGTGAATAGCTTGAACCTGGACAAATCCTTTCCAAATGTTTCTAAAGATGTCTTTAAATGATCTTAACATGTTGGACCATCCCAGTAAAACATCTGGCGAAGTTATCTTGCTACTCCCTGCGTTACATCTGGAATGTAGCTTTGCCAAAATGCATTCCTCTTGTTAAGGCAAGAAGAGGAGCTGAAATCTTCAGAAATGCAGTTTTCTCCTTCTGACTCTCTCTCTTCCTGCTGTCTTCTTACCCGCTTCTGTTTTTCCTGGCCTGGGCACCCCTCGCCATCATCAGCTGGACGCACCCATCCGTCGGCCACTGTGCCCAGAGGAAGGAAAGAGACGGGTTTTCTCCCCAGAGAGAGAGAGAACATGTGTTGCCTTGCTTTGTCTTTTGACTGCTGGCAGCCGACATGCCTCCGATTTCTGTTTTCGCTCACACCCGCCCGGTGTGTGTGCAAACACTGGCATGCCTGGGCACGCCAGAAGCCGGCGTCTCCTACCGTTGGCAGGAAAGAAGAGGAAGCTGGCAGCTGTGGAGGCGGCTGCCATCAGCCCTTCTCTCTTTGGTCTCCCTTGGTGACCAGGGGGTGGAAAGTCGACAGAGCGAGAGGCTCCCCCCACCCCCATGCCTGGCTGTTCCTAACCTTCTCTCCTGGCAGGAACGTTTTTTAATAATCATCTTAGAATGGCAGAGCTGGAAAAGGGGACCCCGTGGGGTCATCTAGTCCAGCCCCTGTCCAGGAGGCCAAGGGGCAGGGGAGAATCGAACTCGCAACCTTTGGCTTCGATCTCAACCCCGGATCTATCCAGCCAGCCCAAAGACTGAACCCTAACTTGGACATTTTGCGTCATCAGCATCACCATCCTCTTAGAACGGCAGAGGTGGAAGGGACCCTCGGGGTCATCTAGTCCAGCCCCTGCCCAAGAGGCCCAGTGGGGGAATCGAACTCCCAACTTCTTGCTCGGCCTCCAGAGACCTAAAACTCATGAGCTCTCCAGCAATTTTAGGAAGCCTGCCTTCCACCAAGTGAGGATCCCCCCCTCCTCTGTTTATATTACCCACTCTGACTGGCCACGCTGGTGGTCCAAGCGACAGGGGAACTCCCTGCCACTGGCAGCACCATCATCCCCTTACCTTCCTCTCCCTGAAAAACTGGGAGCTCGCAGTCCCGAGCGCCCGGCTGATCCGAAAGGGGAAATCTGGCCGAGACCAGAGGGAGAGGGAGGCGCAGCCGAGGGAGGAAGGAGGCGCGCCTTTGTTGAAAGGCGGGCGCCGTGGATACCCGGGCAAGCCCAGCCGGCCCCCCCCGGACCCTCCCCGCGCCAGGGCAGGTCAGGCTGCCGCCCGTCCGGTGTCCCTCCTACCCCCTGTATTTCAGCATCCACTGCGGGGAGGGCTCGGACCCAATCCACCCCCCTTCGTAGATATACTGCGGCCGGTCGCACTGCGTGTGCTTA